GACATTGGTGTCCTTGTCTTAGTGATTTCATTAAGTGTCATATTTGATGTGCTGAAAAATTTTGTGTTCCCAAATATCTATTCCATGATTCATATTCAGTTAAATATTTCAGTGTGTAAAGACAATATCATTTGATATCTCACATGGTTTTATTAAGGATTTTTGCCAAATATCCCCAAATTAAGTTTTTGGTTTGCGTATATTTTTTAATATTTCAATCAAATTTGATTACATTGCATTGATTCCCTCCTATGCTTCCAATGAGGTTCAAACCTTTATTATATCATTATTATTTATCAAGATAGCCTGAAAACGCATTTTTAGTCATTTCAGCCCAATATCCCCCAAATTAGAGGGTTTTTAGGTCCCAGGCCCCCAAATTTTTTCAATTTGCAATAAAATTGATGAGCCCATTGTGCAGTGTGTGTGTATGTATGTATGTGTGTGTGTATATATATATATATATATATATATATATATATATATATATATATATATACACACACAAATGAAATGGACGGTTTACATTGGAATAGTCCTGATCTCTGCTGCCAGGACTTGTTGATACATCTTGAATAGAACAATTTTAAGATATTGTACAAAAAAAAAAAAGAAGCCCCCTCTTCTATCAAACCTTGATATATGGACCCTACTGGGTATGAATGCTGAAAGGTTCTCAACCTGATCAAAAATGTTGTCACAAAAAGAAATTCCAATGTTCGGTTGTTTGCCCATACTTCGGCAAATGGATTAGGCTGAGCATAGTGTGTTTGTGTATTTGGGCAGCAGTTTTTCATTTAAGTTTGGTTCAAAATCAATGAAAGAACATTGTTTACTTTTTCATATTTTGAACCATTTTCTTGATTTCCAATGAAAGTTTAAATTGTTAAATGTTTGAGTACTTTCAGCTTTCATAAGTCATTATCGAAATGTTTTTTTTTTTTTTTTTTTAGTGTGGTTTCATTGTTTCAAATATTGCATCTTTACATATGATATTGTCTTTCAAAGTATTGTCCTCCTGTACCAGTTTTTTTATTCGTTTTCTATTTATAAAATATGTTTAGTATGTATGTTCCTAAACTTGGTAACTTTTTGATGATGTATGTTTGTTTTTATGCTTGTAATTATAATCTTTTTTTTTTTTTTTTTTTTTTTTTACACTGTTTGTGTTATTTGTAAGGATTTGACATGTTTCTTGTGTTTTTGTTTTGGTTGGTGGTATGCAATTGAACTACTACTGGCTACATATTTAATATCTATGAAGCTATTTTTGGAAAATACTTTTGATAGGTTAAAATTAATAAGTTTATAATTAACATAATAATTAGTTTTATTGTGTGAAATATGTTGCATATTAAGATATTTTAATGGACATTACAATAGAAACAAAAACATAGCAAACAGCATGTGACCATAACTCAAAAAGTTGATGTGATTGAGCAAAACCAATGTGATTTTTGGATTCAGCACATCAAAATTGTCCTAAATCAGCTAAAATATTTAGACAATATTATGTTGACCAGAAAGTGGGATAAAGGAACCAGAGTTCAATTTCTGGCCTACTCTGTTGCATTTACTTTTACTTGGTGCTCTTGAGAAAGGCATTAATCCAGCTTCCCTCTCCCCACCTATGGGCTAAATAGCAGGATAGAGTAGGCTCTGTAGCTTTGATTGGCATACAGTCTGGGATATGGTCTACTCTGAATTTCAAAACCTTGGAGAAGGGAATGAGAAACTGCTAAATGCATAACAAAGGTGATTATACTGAAAAATATTTAGTTACAGGTTTATTTTCTCCACCTTTGGTCACTATTAAAAATGACAGAAAATAAGGATCTGGTATAAAGGGAAGTAAATCATGAATAACAGATAAACTTCACTTGAGAACTTAAAACAGCTAAAATGGATAGCACATGTAACTCTAAGAGAAAATGACATAATCAAGATGTTGACATTCCACACTACTTCAAACAAAAGGTTACAAAGGAAACCTCTGTCAATACTGGAAAAAGTGATAACAGCTAGTGGAATTGAGAAACTGTTTTAAGAGAATGTTTTTTATAAATTTCAACCAATTGTAGAACTACCTGCTTGGTTAGTGAATACCAAATGTTACCTTATAAGGAAATGGCAAATATTACCATTACTAGATGGTCTAAATTGCTTTTGAATTGACTACTCAATGAAATATTTTTATATGGGTTTCCCGAGTATCAATCTGCTTTTAATATTCATAAACTTCTCTTACTGATATGACAGTATCTAAACTTGAAAAAAAACAAAATTATTACTCATAGTATAAATATAAATAACAAAAGCAATTCATAATCTTAATATGGTCAGGTCAGCAAACCAAGTGCTTTTCAAAGTTGTTCTCTTTCAAAGAAAAGAACATTTACTTTTCAAAACCCTCAAATATGATTGGTGTTGTAAGTATCCTATAAAAACTAACTGAATAACTGCAAAACCTCAATGAATGCGGGGGGATGCCTGTTTTGCCATTGTAAATATTGTAAGTGGATTATGGGATTTTATACAGACTAAGACATTGGATATTCGAGGCTGGCATTAAATTCTCTTGAAACTAGATCTTTGTCTGATACTGGGATGAAATCAATTCAGATGTGGTAAGACCATCTGTTTCTGCTTTATGATATTGTTAAAGAAAAATAAATGAAACAGATAAAGTCTTTCTAACTTTAAAGACTGATTTTTCAGTATTTAAAATGGGTAAATAACGGCCTAAAATCAGTGTAGAAATTGTAGGCTCAGTGAAAAATTTTTTTTTTTTTTTTTTTTTTACACACATATATATATATATATATATATATCTATATGAAATCAATGTTTTATGCCTTAAGCCATCTGTTGATCTATAAGCCATGAAACTGTCATTCACCATCCAGTGTTGATTTCTATGCCAATACTATCTATACCTTATTAAGCATTCTCCCACTATGAATATAGCAAATTTTAAATAATTATCTAATGTTTTATGTGTATTTTTAATATTCATATTCTGAATGATTTGCCAGTTGATTTTTTTTTTTCTTGTATCCATTAGCAGGTAAGATTCATTCAAATCCTTCACAATTTAAAATCCCACACCTGAACAGATTTGTAGGAGGCCACAAAAGATCAGGCTTATTTGCTTTAAAATCTTTTCCTAAGAGGAAATCCTTTTAAATTATTTGCTGCCAATCATTTTTGCAACATAATCATTCTTTAACTGGATTTTCTTATATATATATATATATATATATATATAAAATTGTTTTTTCATACAAATCTATATCTATAATTTTCAAGATGTGTGTGTGGGTGTGATCAGATGTTTATGCATTTCCAGTTTTCATCCAATTTTGATGAAATTTTTGTTTTTCTTTGATAGATTATTCTTCAGTACTGGTTTTGAGTCTAAATTGTTGGTGATAATGGCTCTCCACTACTTCCTGTTCATTATAAATCTCAGCAACATTTTACTATTTACTATCTGTTCTTGGATATGTATCTTTCATAAAAACTTTAATAAAAAAATAAATATTTTAAATTATTACAATAATATTATTTATTATTATACATCATTACTGTGAAGCTAGTCTTCAAAAAATCTGATACAGGTCAAAATAAAGATTAATAAGAATGTCATATTGCCTGAATATAAAGTAAAATGACTAAAGTTGCTGAAATGTTATTAGATCAAACCAGTTCCAACAGAAAGCTACACTTATGTACCACCCAGTGAGGATCAAACTACCAGTAACTCCTGGTAATAACCTAACCATTGTTTTAATAATGCAGGATTCTCCAAATGATGACCCATAGGTCATATCTAGCTCACCATGATTTTGTTTGTCCAGCTGAAAGATGAATGAATAACCTGCTTTTATTTGCAGAAATTACCAGAAATAAATTTAAAAAAATTTACCAGCATACATTTTTGAAAAAAATATTACCAGAAATAGATTTTTGACAAAACAAAAATATTACCAGGAAAAAAAAAAGTAGTTGGCATTAAATGATCCATTGAGGTTGATGTAAACCAAACCAAATCTTATTTTAAAACTTGAATCAATTACACTAAAAAGACAAGTTTTAGGCTCAAGAATATATGCAATCTCTTTGATCATTTAACATGAAAAATTTGCATATAAATTTGGATGTGTATTTTAATCTGAGCTTGTTAATCTTAAGGTTTGTCAAGTGACTTATAACATTTGAATAATTTTATAACATTTTCAGGATCACAATGTGTTTAAGTCTCTATCTCATACTATGTTCACAGGAATACAACTTGCATTACTCTCCTGAATGGCTACATATCTTACTCCTGAAAATACATTGTTGAATACTTACAGCATCTTAGTAAAAATTAATTAAGCAAATTAATTTTTCTTTTTACCTAGGTGTCTCCTTTCTGTTGTTCACCACTGTATATTAGTACTAACTTTAATACTTGTGACATAAAACATTTTTACTGGAAATAAAAGCCTAAGACCTATGATCCTAGTTATATAATACGACTATATGATCCTCTTTGTAAGTAAGGCAAAGTTACAAAAAGAAATATCACTGACAGCATTGGATCATATGAAAAAAATAAAGTGATTGGAAAGAGTTCAGTTAATTGCAAATAATGTGGAAATGAACAGTATTTACATCATTCATTATCCTGTTGTTTCTTGAGTTCACACCAAGTGCCAAGTGGAACTTTTATAGTCATCTCATTGGCAAAGATGCAGGAAAAATAGTTGATTCATTCTATATCCCGAGGAAACATTTTAAATCCTGCCATGTCAGATTAGATAAAAAAAAAAAAGGAATATTACAATTATATTGGGGGCTGTAGCTGCCCTATCCTCACTTTCTCACTTTCAAGCCTTGATAGTTAATAATTCTTTGTGTTTTTTTTTGTTTTTTTTTTTCCTTTTTAAATCTGCAAATCTCTATATACACAGTTGTAAGTCTGTAGCAACCCTATTACTACTATGGCAAGGCTTACAGCTATATCATGTTGAAACACCAGTTCCTGTATGATCACCAAAGCTAAGCAATGTTGATCATGGTCAGTACCTAGATGGGTGATTGCTTGAGAATACCAGGTATTGTAATCTTGGATGTGCAGGTGGTGTAATGGATAGTGGCTCGGAATTGTTAATCAGTTCCAATTCTTGTTGGGTTCATTATATTCACTTACATGCAAATACCATTGGGAAAGGTATGAATTAACCTCTTTTCTCCTCAGCTATGGGTTAATTAGTAAGACATATCAGTAAAACATTATCTTCAAAAAAAAATTCTTACAATCAAAATATTTTCTGGCTTTATATAACCTGCAAAGTGTTGATAAGCAGATCAATCAACTATGACGGACGTTCAGGTGAGATCCATTGTTTAGTTATACTAACCACATTTCTTCAGTTCCAGATATAAGTTCCACTCAGATTTTCCAAAGGCTTGCCACTTTATGGAACAGTTTACTACATGTTTCTTTCTTTAATCACTTCAGTCTTGACCTCTTCAAATCAAGGGTCAATCATCATTTTTCCTCCTCATACTCATGATCCTTATTTCTTACAAATTTCTCTTCCATTCATATCACATGCCACATTCAGGATTACCATTTTGTTGACTCTTTACTTTGAGTGGCTCTCGAGCTTTGTAATTTTAGTCTTGAAGCTGAATGCCTGTAAGATGAATGCCAGGTTTTGTCTCATTTTAGATGTATAATAACCAAAATTCAAACTCGGTTTTTAAAAATCTGAATAATTTCTCAAGCTTTAGAGAATTTAAAAGAACCTGAGATCAAAGGAAAATATATAATTACTTGGTATTTTATGATGTGAAGTGAATCTTTAGTAATGCAGATTATCAAACTGACATATAAAAAGAGGCTTTTAAAATTCCATTTTTGCATAAGGATGAAAGATGTTAAATTGCTGAGACAAAGAAAAATTGCATTGTGCTCATTTCAGTTTTTTTTTTTTTTTTTTTTATTAATACAGATGCCTTGCAAAACTTTAGGAATAATTTAGCTTAGTACAGAGCTTGTCAGGTTCATTCATAAAATCCGGATTGTGCCAGATAATGTCAGGGTAAGGAGAGAAGGTTGGATGAATAAAGGAAACGGGTCACTGAAAGAAGATATCAGCTCTGACAAAAAAAAAAAAAAAATTGTGGGTTAGGGTGCAGCCACTTTCCCAAAATACTGCAAGTCCCTCATTGACCTTCGCTGACTGGTCACACAGCTGAGAATGGCTGATAGCAGGGGGCCCACTGATACTAACAGCTCTGAAATCACAGAGTTCACATGGTGTCTGTTGTACTTCTCTTGTGAGCTCAGTATTTTAAATGCAAGACTGTATGTATGTGCTAATCTTTTGCAGTGCACATTATAAGCAAAAGCCTAAGATTTAAAAAAAAAAAAAAAAAATTTTATTATTTCCTGCTGTTAATGTCAATCAGATATTTTTTATGTAAATAACTTATAAACTTGTTGATTGGTTGGATAACCCAAATGTTAGTGGAATTCTATGCTGAACTCTTTTAAATATCCTGTAACAAGTAGTACAAATGTTAATTTCAACAGAGGAATTCCTTATTATTACTACCACAACACCCCCTGTAAAAAAAGTATCTATAATGTAATCAATCCTGACCAGGCATCTTGACTGCCAGTCACTTTCTCACTGACGTGAAGTGGCTTTCCTCTGTCTTTTTTACAAATATTTTCAAGGCAACTGCTCTGACAAGCTTTTTTCCCCTGTTGCCCCAACTGCATGAATTTAAGTGTGCTACTAGACTGGCGTCTAGGTCTCACCCATTTACTGTTGAAATAGGTAAATGCAACCGCCACTTCTATTCTAACAGTTTTTCTTGCACTTTTGACCTGTGGGACTCTTCTGTTTACTTGCTTCCTTGATAACTACAATTTTCAAACATTCAAATGTAACAACAATCACCATCTTCTATCTTCTTGAATCCCGTTCATCTTTTGTCCTTTCTTCAATCCTCCCTAGACTCGGCCTTTTCTCTCAATTTCACTCCCTGTACCACCCTGCATACTAATGGCATTCCCATCTTGCTTGGGTTGAAATGATTAAAAAAAAAAAAAAATGGCGGCAATAATGCTACTAACACACTGGAAATAAAAGAGAATGACAAAAGGACTTTAGTGAGAAGAAAGAATAAAAGATTAGTATTTAGGAAGACAGAAGATTGTGATTGATGTTGCATTTAAATTTTTGAAAATTGTAGGTGGCAGAGAAGTAAAAAAAAAAAAAAAAAAATGGAAGAGTTCCACAGGTGATAAGTACGAGGGGGGAAAAAAACTTATTAGAATAGAACATACAGTTACATCTAGCTATTTCAACAATAAATCAATGAGACATAGTTGCCAATCTAGTAGTGTTGAAGTACCAAAGAGGAAAGCTCTATTAATTAGAGAAGGAGTCCTTAGATTCCAGTGTAAGATATTTTGTAAAGATATGAGTGGCAACCAGTCTAGGAGAAAGATAACTCAAAACCGTATGTAGTCCTGGTGAAGCATATACTATACAGCTAATGAAAGGATTGTCGAATTTATAATGATTCTATGATCCCAACAGCAGTCAGCCTTAATTGTTTAATTTTTTAATGAATTTTTCAAATTAGTGTATGCATACAAGCAGGTCAAATTTGTTATTCAAATTCAATAAAACTGTTTGAATACATATAAGCAGGGGTGCTGACAAATTCCTAAACTGATGTACTTCCACCAAATCTGAAATGTCCAAATATCACAATTATATTTGAAGTGCTGATAATTTTTCAGCATACCCAATCAATCAATCAATATATATATATATATATATATATATATATATATATATGATTCCAATCCAGGGATTTCTTAAACCAATAAGATAGACCAATTCTGTCTTGTCAGCCATATTTTTGTTCTTTCTTCATGTCAGAATGCTGCAATCACTTGTCTGTATTTCTTTTGTGTGTTAACTCCATTCTTACTTTCAAACATTTTGTTTTGCATATATATATATATATATATATAGTCTACTTAGTATTTTTTTTTTTTTTTTTTTATTGTTTCTTGGAAACTTTGTCAGTTGTGTTTGGGCATGTTTACATTGAGGTCAAACACAGTGGCAACATTCTGTTTCATGATTAAGTGCAATCTGCAGCCCTTGAAGTCTACACTTAAGCATGAAACACTGTAGCTACTGGGTGCTGACATCAGTGTCCACTTTTATATTCACATATGCTCCATCCCTGACAGTGATCACTCTAACCTCAAAATAGAGCATAGCTGAAAACTATATTTTTATCACACACACACAGATTATATATATATATATATATATATAATAAAAATCCAGGTAAGCAATATCTGCCAGTTTCATGCATTATTACATAATTGTCAGGCATCCAGTAGCTATAGCTTGTAAAGTGGGTACCCTATATACCATTAAGCAAGTTCAATATGATGGTCAAACCATATAAAATATATATAAAACACAATTCATATTATGGTTCTGTTAGTTAATATGGCATTCAGCTGTCTTTCTCCAGGGTGCTCCTATAATAGACTCTTTAGGAGTTGCTTATTTTATATAATTTTTTTTTAAGCAGCATGTGGTTGTTGAAATTTATTGAGGGAGCTTTGTTTTTTTTTTTTTCACAAGGTCTGTTAGGTTCCAAGTCAGAAACCTTCTCATATAGCAATGTACAGAAAGTGAATAGAGCTAATTCTTTTCTCTACTAGCAAAATATGTTCAAATCAATTTCAGTTACAGTATATACATAATTCATATTACTTTTATGCATCATCATAGGCTCAACCCTGATCTTTGTGATTTGAAAAAAAAAATATTTGTTCAAATTATTACATAGTTAAGTATTACTAGTCGAGATAGACATTTTTATTGGTGCCTTTATGATTGAAGTAAGTTCTGTCTTTAATCTGTTATAAAAGTGCTGGTTCTCTGTCATACACTGTGGGACTTTGCATATGTAATGCATATTTCTGTGTTATACATGAGTGACTTCGATGTGCTTATGATATTTAATGTATGAACATGCACATTCATTCATAATTTGATTGAGTTTGAAATAAGACATTGAAATAATGCATTCAACTCAGTTTCAATTTCTGGACAATCCCTACTCTGAGCTGAGTAATAAAGTTGGGAACAAGAAATTAAATTTTAAACCTTAGAAAATAAAAAAATTATATAACTGAGAGTTTACTGAAATTTTCAGAAATTTGGTAATAGACAGAATGTTGAATTTTTTTTTTTCTCATTTTTTTTTTTTTTTTTTTTTTTTTTTTTTCTCGGGTCGTCATTGAATTAAAATATACATTTGCACATATATATATATATATATATATATATATATATATAATACACACACACCATTTGAATGAAATGGAAACGGGCATCTGTGCCGTAAGATTTATTTTCTTTCTTTCTAGCAACAATCCCTGGGTAACAGGAAAAGAGTATGAGCTGAAATGTGCAACCTTTTTGAAGTCATTTTTATTTCTTCTGTATTTAAACTGAATATATTTTCTAATAAATGCAGTCTTTTAAATGGACAAACAATGACGGGTACCAAACTAGTGTTTATGAAGTAGTTAAATATATACATATTAAAAGGGGTCAAAACCTTTTGTAATTCAATATAATTTTAGAGAATGAGATCAAACATCTTTATTATAATATCTGTCCAGAGTTTCAAATTTGTTCCTATTATATATCTGCAGACAAGAATGATTCAGATCGGCTTCTATTATATGTTTGGGTAGAACTGGATTCCTAATAAATATAAAAGACAAGACAATTGTATTGATTCCTATTATGTTCTTTATGCAAAAAGCCTAAAAAAAATATTCTTGTTACAAGTCTTGCTACAAGCTGTTAAAGAAAAAAATTCACACATTGTTGATGACGGCATAAAAAAAGAGGTGTGGGGAGGGATTATATTCATGTCTTCTGTATGCAAGATAAATAGACTTTCTATATCTGGCATAAAAAGTATGTCTGAAAAGTATCTAGTCATTTTGAATATCTCTAGAACCAGTTGTACAACCTTGATATCTGGCCTTACTGTGA